CCACCATATCCACCGCCTCCATGTCCTCCTCCATCACCACCACCACCATATCCACCGCCTCCATGGCCATCACCATATCCTCCTCCGTGGCCACCACCACCGCCATGGCCACCACCACCGCCGTATCTCTCTAAGGAATCATCATCATCTAAACCCAAACAATTGTATACATTATAGAAACTACATAATTTCGGTCAAGCACTGGGCAGAGATGACAAATTGGCTGTCTAGTAGGAAAGCGTATCTGCTTAGTTAGTCTGATCTCAGTAATAAAACTACGTGTGACATAAAGTATATCCATTAAACTCTAATCAGTGCTTAAAGTATTAGATGCCAATTATACCTGTATTCCTATTAGCCAATTTGCCAACAGTACCTTCTTTTCCTAACTCATTAATTTCTCAGCAATACCATACCTTCGAATGGTTTCGGGAGACCGTTAACGATCGCGACCGAAATCACTGCAAGGATGATTAACTTCTGAAACGATAAAAAATAACAAAAGTAAATCGCTGTCACGACAGGACGTCGTTTGAAGCGCGAGGCACCACCGGGCAGAAAATTGCCAAGAGCTGGCCATTAGTCTGCAGGTGAACAGGGGAATTCGGGTGTCGAGCGGCAACGAACGCCCGAGCCAGTCGCATAAAGACCTCTGAAACACGCCGCGCTCTTACTTTACGGTCCCGACTTTGTAATACTTTGCCGCGGCACCCGTGGTCCGTTTTAGGAAACCCGGTACGCTCTTTTCACCGGTGCGAAGTGACCCCGTGGAATTGGAGCGATCGATCGGATTAAGCCGGACAGGTTCGGGCTTCCCTCAACACGACGAAAATTTCGAAATTGCTGCCGTTATACCGGTAATCCGGTCAAAACTCGGCGAAACAAAGATGGTGGCAGTGCGGCTTACCTCGGTCAGCGCCATTGTTGTTTCTCTCGTAGGTTCGGAGACGAACTGATTAATCGATCTCAGAATTCGCGTTTTATAGGAACGACCGGACCGCAGAAGAACAGTCTCGTTAAAGCATTAATTTGTCTGTCACACCGTATCGTTTGGGCGCGGCAGAGAGAGAGCTACCTGTAACAACCGTTACCTTAACGTAATGGCTAAAACGCTATGTAATACTTCCATTTGTCGACACAGTCAGACACCGTGGTGCAAACGTGGATCAAAAAAATATCGTTGCGCAACATCGAGCCGACGAAATCGTGACTCTCCAATTAAACGATAGCCCCTCGAAGACGCGGACGCGAGGGATCGACGTAAACCCCGCGAAAATGAAACGCAAATGAAATTTCCCGAGCCCCGGGTCGGTACACACGCGATTGCATTGTGATTTACGCGGGCCTCACGCGAGCAGCAATTTTAATTTCAAGTCGTACTCGTAACTATCCGAGGCCCCCCGGCTGAATACACGCGAGCGCGCGTTATCCCCGATGCTTTAGTAGTTTTAATCAGCTCCAGAAATCCGCGATAATTCCGGAATTATAGGGCTACAATTATTCCCGGGTGTCGGGCCCGCTCGATTCCATTAAAGAAAACGGTCCTATCATATATTCGATCGGCGAACGTAAATTGGACTGTCGTGATTAATGAGCAATAAATTGCGCGTTTTCGACGATAGAGCGAACGAGTGTCAATATGTCGGCTGAATAGCCGCATCCCAGCCTGGCAATACAGTTTATTGTTGAATTTATTGCATTTCCGCGTGCCGCCCGCTCGCATGATACATTCGTTCTCGGGCTGAATTGTAATCTATCGATTCAACGGAAAGTCAAATAATCTCCCTTCAGCCCCCCCCTCCCCCTGTCGGCGTCCCCTAGGTCGACCAACCATTCGATTATTATCACCGTTATATACTCTCCAGTCGGCGGTAAATGAAATACTTTTAACGAACGACCTCATGAATTATTAACGAACTTCGACTCGAAATCGTTCCCATTAACGTTAACGCTGCTCGCGAATCCGCGATTATGCGAGCGCCACTTCGACCAAGTTTTTCCGACTTCGATGACTTCTGGGCACCTTCCTTTTTTGCGGCCGACCACGAAACTATCGGAAAAAGATTATGCATGGTCCAATGGGTAATTAGAATAGGTTTTGCGCAACGACAATGTTGAGGTGTTAATACTTTCAGTCCTACAAACGTTTCGTTACCGTTCAGTTCTTGCGCGGTTCGCTAATGACGCGGAAAGTGTGGGACGACTGTTCCCAGTTCGGAAAGAAACCAGAGAAATTACCGTATCGATCTCCGAGTAAATGTGCAGCGAAATAAATATACGGATTAGAAGAATTCCTGGTCGCGTCTGGGGGACCGATTTCATTAACGCGGACTGTAGTTCAGTTTGTCGACCCGTTTCAGAATTTCAGGCCGTAAGAAACGGCTCGCAAACAATTAGAGTGAGAGTTCATTTAATTTTCGGGTTCAATTGCGCGCCGTATTAGACCGGCGGTTACACTGAACGAACAAAATCAAATTTGACTAGAAATTCGCGGGACGAGCATCGGATCTGATATTTATCGTTCGCGGCCGCCAAGGCTGGTATTGTTTGCATAGCGCGCAAATTGCGGAGCAAAATCCGCGATCCAGACGTCTGCGAATTATCCACGGAACTCGCGATAGAAACCACCGAAATTAATATAGACTGCCTCCTACGGTTACCAACTGTGTAACTGGCTGCGAGAACAGCCATAACGCTAACGGAAAATCCATTTTGATACATAAACTGGGTAATCCGGCGCGAACGCGAAGCGTTTACGAAATTTGCATCCCTACCCGGACCTCTATTTTCAAGGAAACCGACAAGCGAAAGAAAAAATACACTCTTAATTACATGTTTTAGTTAGAATTCTATTAATTACAAAACTGTACAGATTCTTAGCACCTCAAGCCTCTTGCAGCTTGTTCACGAATGGTATCCAGAACGGAATCGCTCAAACGACACAGCCTTAATGGTTATCCTGGTGATTCTGTATCGTTCATCGCCCCGAATTGATTAATACAAAGTCAACAGGGCTCCGTTCCAAACCATTGAGTCTTACAAAGTATTACTGGCTGCCACGTAACCTAACGCGGTATTAATTAAGTCTTGTGTGTAACGATGTATGCGCCAGCATCGTTACCAGCCGGTTCATCGGCAGAAAAGTCCCGTTTTAGCGGCCATGTCATAAGATCCTCGTGGACAGGGTGACGTCAGCGCCGGTATCAGCGAGCTCTGAATGGAGTGGGTCGACACGGGAGCCGTCCACGTCCCTTCCGTCGAGAATATTCCCGATTCCACATCGGACCTACCAAGACAACGAGTAAAATCTTCCTTATTTGAAGAAATCCTTATCTTCGTCGGCGAATAGGGTTGCCATTTAATTAAATCACTGATCTAGGACAGGGAATATTAACGTATTCGGCACGGATAGGAGATGTAGCTTCCAAGAGTGAATCACGCCGTCACTTTGGAAACTATAGTGTCACTCTGAAAACTATGGCATCATTTACAGAACTACAGTCGGGAGTTACGGTAGAAATTTGGAATACCAAACCCTTTTTCAATCACTATTGAAAGACTATTTTCAAATACCATTTTTCAATGAGACACGATACTCCATGATCGGCATTTTTATAAATTACAAGCTGCAATTACAACGAAACACTGAAAAGAAAATGTAGTCGTAGAAAACAAGGCAGCACGTATCGAACGCGTTAAAACCGAGGACAAATCCGAGAAAGCTTGAATCTACGATAGCCCTACAGGTAGATGAAAACGGTATGCGGTAAGAGCTGTCCCCCAACGACGGAACGGAGATAAAGTGACTCCGAACGTGATCCCAATTACAGATGGTACGTAAATTCAGCCGCCATTCGGGCGGTGTTACCGTAGTTCCGCGGATTACTATACCGGAAGAGAACCGTCCGCGAAATACTGTTTGAAGCCTTACGTCTTGAGAACTGGCGCGCTATAAAGAATAAGAGGATTCACGGGCGGCGGCTTAAGAAGGACCACGTCGACTCCGGAGGACTGTAGCTCGCTTTTTAGTGCCTCCGCGGCCCCTTCCACAGCCTTCCGGGAGGCGCTGTACGCCACCAGTCCCGTCCCTGCTTTGGTGCCATAGCTCGTCGCTGAATCTCCCAAAAGAACGATGCGACCTTTAACATAAATGTTCTTTACAGTTCCAACGCCAGCACCTTGCCTTCCGCGGAGCCGAGTTTAAGGGATATTTATTGTATCCAACGGTCTTCCGGCGATATCACTTTTCGGATTGAGTTACTGCTGCTTTAAGAGCGTACTAACGGCGTGACGCACAATCAAGAGAAATAATGGTCGCTGTTTTTGTTGAAAGAAAAACTGTGGCTGGAATAATGAAAGCCGTTTACGTAGAGACTCGGACTATTCATTTCCTGGGCATCCCGCTCTAAATAACTTTTTTCTACGGACGACTTGAAAGAATTGATATTTAGATGTCTCGCTTAAATTGGCCATTTAAATTGCTTTAGATGGTACAATTGGAAGTAGGGAATGGGATTAAGGGGAGGCTATTTTTCTAGTCTAGAATTGAACCTGCTTGCACTGCACCATATTGCAAAGAAATATTTCGTAACACATTAAGCGCCGACGACTTAAGAGACATTTAAAGCCTGAGCGCCGGCAAGGTATCGGCCACTTAGCCCAACCGCCGGCTTCATTCGCTTGTATCTGATCAATGAGTAGCTAAAAAAAAGTATTCAAAATATTATACATTTTCGTAAAATAGTAAATTTTAATTGCATATTCGTCAAATCCAAAAATGGAAATCCAGAAATCCGCATTATTGCGGGCCGGCGCTCAAAGTGTTAACTTTCTACTGAATTATTGATCTACCTGTGATAATAAATTATATCGCAACAATAAAGTAACGAAACATCGAAGCAAAATGTTCGTTCATCCTGGGCTCGTCGTACTAATTTCGATAGGCATTTAAATATACCTATAATAGTATGAGCAAAAAATGATCCTCATATTAGTAAAATTTATCCTGCTAACTAAGTCCTTTCTCTGGAACCCTAGGAACAGACCTCGTTTCGCACGCAGCAAAGGAATGAAGACTCTAGCAGTCCTGAGCGGAGCGACCAAGTTGTGTCGCAACATGGATTCCCACGCGGAACTCGGCTGCCTCTCAATAATACCAGGAAGAGCCTGACCGCCGGTGTGCACGACTGCCCAAAGACCTGTAATTAAGTAAAGTTGAAACTTGGGTGTACCTTAAGCGCGCAAGACACGACGAAGATGGAAGTTCGCCTCGCCAAGTTCGCGCCCCTTAACGAATTCGTGTGTTCCGCAAATTTCTAAACGCGTCTTTAATTTCTTCTTAACTTCCGCAAACGGACAACAACTTTGTCCGTGCCCAAACAATCAGTGTTTATGATTCCTAATCAAGCTAATTCTACAATTGTCTCATAGATAATACAACAGCGAATGAATTACAAGAATAGATAAGGTCAATGAACTAAAACGAACGAAAAAATGATAAGGATAAAAAAGAGGAACGAATAGAATAAAATTTCGATTAAACAGAGCCAACAATAATTTAGAATCGATAGAATGTGTTCATTATCGTGCTCTTAATTTCGTTTTAACTCCGTCGAGCGATCAGTTACGCGAATCCCAACCGTGTCCACTTTTAATTTGCTACTCAGATAATTCGAGAGCGAACGCATTACAGGAAGAGATGAATCGGGGGAGTTAAAAAAGGATCGAACAGAGCCTAAGTAAAAGGAAAAAAAATGGAGGAACGAATAAAGAAAAATTTCGATTAAACAGTGCCAGCTGTAATTTACAGTCGATCGGAACGGAACAGCGTTCGAGGCGTGCAGGATCGACGACGGTGCAACGGAGAGAATCGATAAAGGTAAATGTATTGCATCCGACGATCGGTTATCAGACCTTTTCCCACGGAATTGTTCGTTTTAACCGAACAATTTCCAGGGAGCCGATGGTATTTTACATTCGTGAATCTTTGCGGCCGTGGCGCCTCTGAACTCCATTCCGGGTCTCTCCTTCCCTTTCCTCCGTGCCCGTTTTTCTCTTATTCGCCCCCTTTTCCTCCCGTTCTATTTACAGGAACCGATAAAACTCACCGGGTATTATATCTCGAAGTGAACTACTCGGCGGAATCATCACGAGAACAATTATTGGACCGATATCTGCATCAACTCACTCGAAATCATCGGCATCTTTCCTCTCGTCATCTTCGACAGCGGAATACCGCGTAATTAACGACCGCAATAACAAAAGATCGATTTCTGGACGTTGAAGATGAAAATGAATGGCCTCCAGCTAGCCATTGACTGACGGGAACGCGAGAAGTTTCCAAGACGAAACTTGAACATCGTGCGAAACTTAATTAACGTTTCTCCCCCGAAGTAACGCAATTTTTCGTTAATTAGGTAACTCCTGGTTGGCCCCGTTGCGGACACCAGGAGCTGCTACTCGTTAAGCTCCCTTCAATCTTTTTATGGAGATCGAGTTACATCTTTGTAGGTTGATATTTTAAGTTTAAATAATACTGTAGCGGTTCCTCGCGGGGAATATCTCATCTCGAAACGCCGCCCCTTGTCTCACGAAGATTTTCTAAAGAAATTGTCAGATATATATTAATGTCACAGTAAAAACTCGTTTATAAGTCCTTTAAAAGAATCTCATTTCGCAAGAAAATTTCTTATTTCAGAAAATTCCGTAAATATTGAAGAACCATCCAAAAACAGTTTACATTGAAATATTACACGATTACAAAGGAGTATTCTTCCCCCGCGAATCGTATTAAAATAATAAATCTCGTTCCATGTGTGATTTTAGGCGACCGATGATTAGGATCACGGGACCGTGAAGGAAACAGGAGTTCACTGAATGATTTATAATGAAACGCAGAACGTAACTCGTGTCCGTCACACCGTAATCATTGCTTCTGCCGCGAATCCGGCTCGTCGTTGCGTGGTGACCGGTTCAGCCCGCACCGGGATCGAATTTAATTACTCGAGCACGAACGTGTGCGAGCTCGAGCGTGCGAGAACGAACGCGACGCGCGTTAGAGCGTGTTCAATCTTCGCCGTTCGGCGCACGTTAAATCGACGATCGCTTGCCGTCTTCGCCGGCCGGAAGTTTCGCTCTAAGTGCGTTCAAACAAGCGCGTAAACTGTCCTCCCTCGTCGGGTCCAGCTCCAATGGCACGATTTGGCCGCGAGCACGTACTTCCGGGTCCTGCGGACTGCTTTGCGCCCCTTCCGCCGGCTCCACTCCCTCCCTCTCTTTCTGCTGCTCCATTGCCCGCAGGATCTTGATCGATGGTGAACTGCCAGAGGGATCGAGCATCCCGGCAAACACCTGTCAATAGGGAATCTTAACGTTATGATACTGGTTTCGACACTGAACTACTGCCACGCAACAATAGCTCTTCCTTTTAATCTTCTTTCTTCAATCGTTTCTTTAACCTTCGTTATTTTAAGGATACTTGTTGCTTGGAATATAAATTGAACAATGTGTGATCACAGCTATTGTACCTCCTTACTTCTATCAGCTTTATATTTGACGCTGACACTGAATTTCGAATATTGGAAAATTAACTTCTTCCTTGACAATGATTATATAAATAAGTAAATATTTATTTTGTATCAACGTCTTTTTTAATATATTAGTGGAATGATCTTTCTGAATTATCCTTCTTCGCTGAAATTGTAACCTACTTTGACTTTGTTATTTATAATATACTTTATATGTTGAGGGCAGGGCTTAAGGGTAGAGGATATTTAATGGTATCTATTACTCGCACGCGATTCGCAAAGCTTCTACGTTGGAAAACGAGAGTTCTGAATATCCCGTGAACATACACTCTGACGCGTACTGGATATTAAATTTCATAAAATATCGAGTTTCTTGAGAGCCCTGAGTCAAAGCACCATTTACCGCTATTCATTTCGAGGAACGTAACTTTAATCATTGCCCCGGTGTAACTTAATTAATAAGTCGATGCGCCGGCGGGAGGTATAATATCCCTTTAATAGCAGGAAACCAATTTGGACGAGCTATTCGATGATTTGCACTTTACGCGATATAATTTCTGTTTGGCTTCCTGAAATTGTTGAACTGAAATTGCAATGTAATACGTACATTCGTCATAAACCAATCGTTCGAATAAAGTTCTCCCAAGTAATTCTTGTGACTTTCTTACTGAAAATAAATATCTTCCTATGTCAAAGTACATAGACTTTCATCGATATAATATTACAAATTTAAATCTTTTAATTCCAAACATTTCTGTACACCGTACTCATTTTCTCACAAATAATACCAAACATATTCTTCACTCTAGAAAATCAAAGTTTCCTCCAAAATTCTTTGACAAGTGCACAAAGACTACTGCGAACCAATATTTTACTACACTTCATAGGAAAGTTGTATAATGCCGTTGTGGGAGGCGAGGGGGCGGCGATTACCTTGTAGCCGACTTCGTAGAGTGCAAGGGCGATCTGCAAGCCCACGCAGGTATCGCAGCTGGTAACGAGCACATGGCGTTTGTTACGGGATTCGTACTCGTCGGTCGCGTTCCTCGATTGCCGCATCAGATAGGCCAGCAGAGCAGCGACAATCGAACAGAGAGCCAATATTTGTAGGGCCAAAATGGCCCCGGTCTCGGCGTCCATCCTCTCGGGCGATATTCAATCTGCAAAGCAGAAGTTACGTCTCAATTACGGCGCAATTCAAGCCGGGTCATACGGGCCCTTCCACTTCCGCAATGCGCCGGGAATAGTTTCTCATCGGCCGTTATGGCGCAGCTAAATTTCGCATCGTAGTTCCGCACACCAACACACGCTCGCTGGTCATACTCAACTTGCAAGCTTATTCGCGGGAGCGCGCGGGTGCGTCATGCCGGACAGTCAACTGTTAACCGTCCTAGAAATACTCGGGATTCAAGGACAAATATCGTCGCGAAAATTACCAACGGGTTTCCGAGTCGTCCCGGCTAGATTAATTCGTTTGCCCCTATCGACTGCGCCGATTGCAGCGGTCTACTTTAATCGTTTTCCTTCCGAGGATCCTTCCCCCCGGGCGAACCGAGTTCCGTAATGCTCGTGTAATTTTGCGAATCTGGACTACCCCGGGAGTTCGTTGTTTTCATGGTTTTGCGATGTTTCGCGTCCCACTTGCGCCCGGAACTAATGGCACCGAAGGCAAATTGCAACTATTTTTTTGTTCCTTTTTTTTCGTTCGGAGGGGTAAAACATTTCCGCGCTCGCTCGTTCTTCTTTTTGCCCGTCGCAGATTCATGCGCAACGAACGGGTAGCTTTTACCGTCGAGTTAGCAGTGCAGCTGAACCATGAGTTACTACTCTTAATGGGACCAACTGTACATTCGATACGGTTTCAAACATGAAAATGATGCTCGGTGAGATTAAATATTTCTGATGTGCCAGCTTTATGAACTGTTAGTATCCGCTCGCGTAATCCGCGGAATCAAAGCGCGATACGCTTCGCGGTAGGCGTGAAGCATCTCGTTTGCTCGTTTATGCCTTTCTTTTTATCCTGATTAATACGTAATTGATGCAAATTGGAGGAACTGGATTAAAGGATGTTTTAACGAAATTACCAATTCAGGAAACAATGATTAGTAAAAAATAAAAAATGGTAGAGGTTTCTGAGAGAGAAAAATGTGCAGTTATACATTATTCGAAGCCATAAGCGCGCGTTATTTTAGCGTATAGTTTATATGGTTGTTGCATACCGGTTTAATTATTTTTGCAATTTCACTTGAATCTGATAAAATAATTTACGATTACGTTCTCTCTAACCGCTGATTTACAGAATTTATGTTGGTTAATCAACTAGCGGTATAAATTTGGCACATTAACATTTTATTATTCTCCTCATTATTTCTTACATAAGGAAATAAATGGAAACTCACTGTGGATAATAACTGGACTGCGGAACTCGCCGACGCGAATTATCGCTTTTATAGAAAAGCTTAAGGAAACAGACATGGAATGAAACTTTACTTTCTTCACTATTGGTTTCGACGAATTAAAAGTAAAATCTAATTGCATTAAGTTCTAGAGTAAACTCTCTATTTTGCTTGTATTCGATCATTTTTACTTGCAATGAACGAATAAGAACATACAGTTCATTAACAACAATTCTATATCAGTAAAATTGCTGCTAACGAAAATTCTGTCAATGATCTCAAAGTGATCCAAATCGAATCTTTTTCCGAATCAGGAAGAATTATTCCCTGATCGTGGATTACACTCGTCAACGTCTATCCGTGATGGATCCACGTGGTGCTATTTGTACCAATGTTTTCGGCGAACGCACGCAACCCGTATAAATCCAGTGTCGAAGCGTAATTCCGTGCACGAATGCCGTTGACAGCCGATCGATCATCAATGATTCCATAAGGCATAGTATATTTAACGGGGAAATTGTCGGGGTCCGGGACGATACAACAAATCAAGTATCTTTATTGTCGACGAATCCGCGTTATCCCGGCCGGTGCAAGGATCGCAGATCGACCGGACTATGAATATGTCGTTTACCGTAAGATGTCCTAGCTCAGTGATGCGCAATGTGTTTTGTGAATAAAAGATAACATGTACATTTTTTTTGAAAATTTCCTCTGAACTCCCCGATGTTACAGACCATTTTTAACTGTTAATGTTAAGTAAAAAAGAGGGATTCACACGAGGTATCTGCAATTCACAAAGATTTTGACATGAATGGGTTAGGAATTAAAATGGTAAGAAAACTATTAAGAGTACTCGAAAGTTTGTTTGTCCTCGTTATCAAATTTTGTATTAATTCTTTGTAAAAACTAGTTTGCTTAGGTTGAAAATATTAAAATCGCTAAAATAACTTTGTTCTTAATAATTTACTAAAAACAAAGAAAAATTCTCAATTCACTTGTATCCACCTTTACCACAGAACATAACAATTAATAATAGGAAAATAATGTTTAATTTATACCCAATTTGTACCCAAAATAATTGGGTAACATTTCATTTTTGCCACTGTCGCTTGAAAACTTTCTCGCGAGTCCGACTCGATATTCTATGGCGAGGGGTTATAAATTCATTTCTCCCCTTCCGGCGTAGCGTACTATTAATTAAGTCTGTTGACAGTCGCAAACACACGCGAATAATAACAGGATTTTTTCCCTAAATCAAATTGAAAATATTTCAGATGAAATATTTCTCTATTGCGTCGCGAATGCCTGCAAACCTTTTCAACATGGTGTAATGACGAAATGCAGGGTTCCACTTGAAAACTCGCTGGAAATCGGAGAGCCGCGTTTTTCGAGTTCAAATATTTTTCTACGCTATAGTACAACCCCACCTACAGAGGAGAAAAGGGGGTCGGAGTTAGATAGAAAACAAAAGAATGAATTTTCAATAAACTCTAAACCGTGCATCGCTGCAATCTAAACGGACAGAATGCAATTTGGAAAACGAATATTAAATTTGAAGCACGCCGCGCAAATGGAACTCCAAACTTCAATTTATGGATATGTTCGTTTGTTCAATAATTCAAAACTACTAAATTTCAAAGGATTACACACACATTCAGAATACCCATGAATCTACAGTTCCACATGACTTTTTACCGAAAAACATTTCGCTAACGACTCTTAAAATTGACCGAAGTTATGAGAAATACGTAATCTTCCAACTTCTCGTGCACAACAAAAAATAATATTTCAAGAAGAAACACGAAAATACATGTGAATAGTTCGACAGTATCATAAAAGTACCTATACAGCAGGTGCATTTTTATCGAAAATCCGTTTAATTTCAGCCGTTTATGCACCGAACCTGCCTGGTGTATATCACGCGGAATCTCAGCAATCCGGTATTGGAAGTCGATCACAGATCGATGATTCAATTGGCCGCGACGTGGAGGCATCGCCGGAACGCATCGCGGATTCCGTTTTTCCCGCGAAAAGTGAAGGGCGAGCGGGCGGTTGGAAAGGTTCCCGCTTCGTCAAAGTATACACGCTCGCCTTTCTAAAAGTGTGTTCGCGCGCTCAGCGAGGCGTGGCTCGGAGGCCGCTCCTCTTTCAGCCAGGCCAGCCGACGCTCGTCGTCACGAATTCAGCTCGGATTTGCAAAATCGAACGCAATCCGCTCCCGGACGTGTCACGCCGACGCGCGCCGGTGAAAATCGCGCGGCGCACACCGACGATTTTAATAGCTCGGATCACGTTTTCGTTAATGTGCTGAATCGATTAGCCAGATGGGAGCGTTTCAACCGGCATAAAGAGGCATTTTTCATCCGCCGCGGGGAATATTCCAGCCGGAGTTGGTTTCAACCGAAGGGCAAAATCGTACGGGAAGATCGAAACGTCCGCCGACATCCCTTCATGGGAGAATTATCGGGGAAACGCGGCCGAAAATTGCGCCCTCGAATAAATGCCCGACGTCGTATCATGTCAGACTGATCTCGTAATCAATGGGCGGATGGAGGAAATTCATATAACGTCCATTTCGCATCACGGATTCTTCCTTATTATGCGAAAGATTTATTGAAAGTTGATACCGTGAAACGTGGAAGCGCGTTCTTAACAGAGGAATTAATTAAATGAATATTATCCGCGAATATCTGTTGGCGGGAAATTGATATGAATATTTCACGGGGTTATAGCACAACGAATCACGCGGAATGGAATAAAAGCGTTAATATAATTTAATAAAATTTCTATCTGGTTTTGGTAACGGAAGAAACAACGATGAAATTCATTTCAGTTTCTGCGCTCGGATTGTGAAAATATTTATTCGCGCACGAATTATATTCTAATTGAAGTACGGTAATTACGTGGAGTGATCTTTATCGTGTTACGGAATGTTCATTATTACCTGTAGCACAATTTTCCAATCAATTAACGAAAGAATGGGCTGGTCGGTTTACGCATTTAAAGGATCTGCATTAAACACTTGCAGTGCAGTAAGTGCATTTACGAGAAAATGGTCTGATAAATTTGTTACAGTATTCTGGCGTTATTCCTTTGCATAATCAGCCTACAATTTGATAAAAAAAAAAAAATTAAACAGAA